CGGGGCCAACATACAACTCCCGTTGACAGGGAGAACACTTCAAACGTTCAAAATTTAATTTTTAATCAAGAAACAACAAACCAGAAGCAGGAAAGGGAATCGAAGACAAAAACTGATAACAAAGGCAGAAGAAATAGAAGCAAAAGGAATGAAAGAAAGTCCTAACCAGGATAAATGACCTACATGCCATAATTCACCGAACAAGTTAGGTCAAAATGTTCCCCATAGTAAAAACTTTGAACAGAACGTTAGAAAGAAGATATGGACAAAAGAAAGAACAAAAAACGGAACAGAGGAGTAGCATAGAAGGCAAAAAACAAACGAACGAATCCAATATGAAACATTAAGAATCTTTCTAACTCTTCTTTGCTCGCTCATTCAAACAAGATCGGTAAGGAAAAGAGGAGGCTAAGGTTTGAAATATTGTACTCATTTTGATCTCACTCTATCTATTTTGCACTCATATTCTCCTTCCCAACAACCCTCATGCTCTCTTTCCCACGCACACTCTCTCTCATTCTATGCCTCTGGTATTCTTTATCACGTAGTATTTTCACGCATAGCTACTCTCTCACTCTTTCACAATCTAAACTCACCAACGTTTTCCAACATGCTTGTGCCTTTCTTTACGGATAATGTGCATGATGCTGAGCGTGGCGCAATTACCTCTAGTGTGACTAGCACCAGCAAAACGATGCCAGCACAACTTGCATCAGCAAACAGCGGTTGTGAAAGGATAAAGAAGGGGAAATAAAGAAGAGATATGAAGAAGAGAGGGAGAATTGAGAGAGATATGCATGACCAATAGAGAAAGGAACGTTAAAAAACATGGGGGGAAAAAACCAGAATAAGCAACAGAGGTAGACAAACCAGAAAAACAGAGGACGGTAAATCAAAAAGGTTGTTACACCAACTTCTTATAAACATCGTTGGAGAATCCCCTTCGAATTTTAAGAAGTATTAGATCAACAGAGCTTACCAAAGGAGCTGGAGTGGGGTGGTTGGCATAATTGAAGGGAGAAGCTACAGTAGCATGAGAGGTTTCAAGGAAGGATATAATAGAAGTGAAGGAAATGAGTGGGATGAACATGTAATGAATATAGTGAATGGAACGACAGAAAACCTAGGCCTTAAGGAACGATATCACGAAAGTTTCTGGATAGGACGGCTCATAAATCTAGGATGAGGAAGAAATTAACGAAAATGCAAATATAAGGTAGTAATAAGGCAACCGACGAACGGAAAAGAAAGGATGAAGAATAGTAGAGACGAATGCAAGATTGTGCAGGAAGGAACGAAATAAAAAAAAAAGGAAAACACAAAAAATCTTTACGAAGGGCCTAGAACCTAAGTTATAACAACTTAGTCGAGCTAATTGTCATCCGTTTACATGTTGACTCTAAGTACTATGCAAAAAGCGATTAAAACTGAACCACAAACTCAATCTTAGCAACACTTAACTTCACTTTAATCCCTCCAAGTGTGACAGCATGTCACCTCATAGCCAAGGGCGTAGGAAGAAATAAAGTGAGTAGATATGCCTTGCTTGGTTTGTAGTGTGAGAAATCCAGTCGAGCAGCGTTTCGGCGTCACCACGTCATGGTTCTACTTTCGTCAATACGTCGTACTAATATTTAAGGCTTGAAAAAAGCATAATCGCGTTGATTTATGTGAAGCAAGTACAAGCACGCATTGATATAAAGTCCAGACACAAAAAGGAAAACATAAAGCAGTTGCTTAACTGGAATCCAGGCCTTCACTTTGCTGTAAAAAAACGGTTGTGAAACTGCTAAAGAATTTGGCTCAATCTGTTTCGGTAGAAATAACTACAATCTACTTATGTTGAAGCCAAACTCCCTTGCTGACTCCCGTTATAAAATTCCGTATATTTCGAGGATTCCTAATTTCTCATTAGGAATCATGAGTTCTCGTGTGAGCTTCCCGTTTTACAGTTGTAAAACGGATTGTACCGTTGTTAAAACAGCATTCACCGTTTTGTACATGCGTCAAAATGATCAAGATAAGCAGCATGATTTTCGTGCGAAGTCTGCTGTTTCCAAGTCAGCGCGGGATCCGGTTGGTCAACCATAATCCTGAAGCACCCCTCGTCGACCTTTGGCCAGCACATGACAGGGCATTGATTGCCTTGTCTTGTTGCAATCGTGCAACTGTGCACGGTCGCACTACTTGCGACACGCGCGTGGGCCCTGTGGGGCCACACGCACATGTTAGGAAAACACGCGTGGGTCCTGACAGTCGCGCGCTTATTTACCAGCATAAAACTTGTCAGAAGGCCGAGCCAGAGACTCGAGCTCAGCACCACCTCCCGACACACTCGACACTCGCCAGGAGCGCTCATAATTTTTTTTGAACTTTCATGAGCTTTCATGACACTCGTAACTATCATGAACGTAACTATCTTGTTGACACAGGTTCTCGCCTTGCATAGTCTTGAGTTCTCTCCTTTCTTTGTTTGTTCCTTGTGGCTCTTTTGCTTGTGCTCGGAGTGTGTGGTGACGTTGTGATCCACCCTGAGCTTTGTTTCTTTGTGACCGTACGTTTTTGGTTTTACTTGACACCCTTCACTTAGATTATAGGGGTGTGTCAAATGTTGTAGTCTTAGTGATGTGTGTTATAGGGGGTACAACTGTTAGGGTTAGGTTTATATACCCCAACCATGCGTAGTCAAACCAACACTTTCATTCTTGACAGAGCCCTACTCCCTTCAGAAGGGAGCGGTTGGGACTCTTCCCAACCAAGCCTGTGCTGCTCTACGACTCCCTGCCTGGAGCAATGATATCAGGGTAACATACCTTGATTACCCGGATTTTAGGGTTCAGTTACCCCCCTGCGCTAAAGTTTCAGGGTTTCGATAGTTAAATTCCTGAGATTTCAGGATGTTTGTTTTATAGCACCCTGAAAATTCAGTGCAGAGTACAACTGCCTACCCTGAGGCCTCAGGGTTGCTTGTAAGGCGTACCTTGACACAATAACACTTTGCCCCTCGTGCGAATTCCCTGACTTCCGTAACTTCGCGCCGAGAACACATGAGTCCCCCCCCCCCCCCCCCCCCACTCACATTGATGACAGCAGATAACGTACATCGCTCACGCTCCACTCGCATTTACCTATAACATCAGCGCCCACTTGAGGCATTTGTAGTGGTGTAGTAGTCGTGCCTGCCAGCCAGGCACCTTTCTGACACACCTCACACTTAACCATTTTTACAAATTCGGCAGGTGCGTGTTCAAAACTGGCCAATCATAGCAGAATTCCGGTCAAGTCCTCGCGTGATTATATAGTAGAAGCGTCGGACGAAGAGAGCAGCAACAGCACTAGTTCTATGATGGCGGGAATTACTAATTTGCCCTATAGTGCAGATACCATTCATGTCATGTCATGTGGGTACTATTCTGTAAATCTAGCTAGGTATAATTAAGAAGATACAAGTTTTATAATAGTAAACTTTACATCGGGAAAAGTACGGTACGAAGTCAAAATCAGTGTTAGCAAAAAATAAGCCCTGAAGGCTCGGGGTATAGTTATGTCATTTCCTGAAAAATCAGGGTGTGCCTAAGGGCTATGCCCTAAGGAGGACCATCTTTTTTCAGCACTGCCCTGAGGGCTCAGGGTCCCTAAATATGAATCTGAGGCCCTGCTCCCTGCTTTCTTGTGGTGTGTCATTTGGTAACCAAAGAGGCTCGGAAGGTCAACTGTGGGCTCGAAAGGCAAACTGTGCACAGTTTGCATTGATTCAGGTCTTAGGCTTTAATGGCTCAAGGTTGGCAGCTGAGAAATATAATTAAAGCCCGATTCTAGAATGGCAATGGTTCAACTTCAAGATTCTTGAACTTGTGTTCGTCAAGGACAGGGTAACTAAGTTAAAAAAGCTGATCTCTCGCGACCCACAGAGAAGGGAGCTGGTAGGCCAAATGCCCCACAGCAAAAACACCGATGAGCCTCGCTAGAAACAAACAATGACAAGTATCAATGTTCACACTTTTAGAACTTGAAACTCGAAAATACCTTTCTAGACTCATAGCTTAGTGGCTTCCATAGCCCTAGTTCTCGTCAGTAGTCGCATAGTTACGTCCATCTCCCTGCCCTATGCTAAGACTTTAGTAGCACATAGAGACAGAACTTCTCGGCGACTTTTTCGTGCATAACGAAACCGATCTGGTAGCCAGCAACAAATATAGGACCTTTGAATTGATCGCCACCGTGAGAATCACTTGTCGCCACTGAAGGTTATCCCAGCCCGCATTCAATGCCGGGCCGCGCTCCCGTCGCCGTCACTCCCGTCGCGCTCTCTCTCTCCTGTCGCGCTCTCACTCTTGTCGTGCTTCCACTCCCGTCACGCTCTCACTCCCGTCGCGCTCTCACTCCTGCCGCTCTCTCCCGTCATGCTCTCACTCCCGTCGCGCTCTCACTCTCGTCGCTCCCTCGCTCCTGTCACGCTCTCACTCCTATCGCTCCCTCACTTCTGTCGCGCTCTCACTTCCGTCACTCTCTTAGTGACTGTCGCGCTCTCACTTCCGTCACCCACGCACGTCGCTCGCACATGTCGCTCACACGTGACACACACGACTCACAAACACATGTCTATCTCATCCCGTCCCTCTCCTCTCCTCTCCTCCCTTGCCTCAATTCCCCCTCCTTCCCTTCTCGCTCTCTCCTCTCTCACTACCGTGTTCTTGCTCATATCTGCTCCTCTCCACCTCTTCCCCCTTTTGCGCCCCCCCCGTTCCTCCTCTTCCCATCTTCCCCCGTCACTCACACACGATACACACAACATGCTCACACATGTTCCCATCTCCCCTCTCCTCCCTTCCATATCCTCTCCTCTCCTCCCTTACCTCTCTGTCCCCCTCCCCTTCTCTGTCTTCGCCTCGCCTCCCCTCCCTAATACATCCCCTCTCCTTCCTTTCCCTCTCGTCTTCTCTCCTTCCTTCTGTCTGTCCATTTTCCGGGAAGAATTGAGAGGGGGACTGAAGAGCCCTCTATTGCCCCAATCCCCATGCCCAGGAGACGGGAGGGGGACGGGAAGGGGATAAGAAGTCAACGAGAGGGGGAAGCGAGGGCAATGGGAGGGGGAAGCGAGAGCGACGGGAAGGGGAAAGGAGGCGGATGGGAGGAAGAAAGGAGGGGGATGGGAGGGCGATGGGAGGGGGATGGGAAAGGGATAGGAGGGGGATGGGAAGACGATGGGAGGGGGATGGGAGGGCGATGGGAGGGGGATGGGAGGGGGATGGGAGGGGGACGGGAGGGGGAAGCGAGGGTGATGGGAGGGCGATGGGAGGGCGACAGGAGGGGGATGGGGACGGGAGGGCGATGGGAGGGCGATGGGAGGGAAATTGGAGGGCAATGGGAGGGGGATCGGAGGGGGATGGGAGGGCGATGGGAGGGGGATGGGAGGGGGATGGGAGGGGGATGGGATGGGGATGGGAGGAGGATGGGGGGGGCGGAAGGGGAACGGGAGGGGGATCGGAGGTCGACGGGAGGGGGAAGTGAGGGCGACGGGAGGGGGAAGCGAGGGCGACAGGAGGGGGAAAGCGAGGGCGACGGGAGGGGGAAGCGGGGGTGACGGGAGGGGGAAAACTAGGGCGACGGAAGGGGGAAGAGAGGGCGACGGGAAGGGGAAGCGAGGGCGATGGGCGGGGGAAGGAGGGCGATGGGCGGGGGAAGCGAGGGCAATGGGTGGGGGAAGCTGTAGCGACGGATGCGGGAAGCTATGGTGGCGGACGGTTGATGCGAGAGATCGACGGACGTGGGAAGCGAGGTCGACAATGCTCTAATTTCTCATCTTGTGCCGCACGGTATCTCCGTGCTTCACACTCGTATTCGTGCCACATTCCCGCCCTCGGTCCCCGGATGCCTCTCGATTCCGGAATAAAAGCATATATTCTCACATGCTATACCTAGCTATTTTACTCTGGATAGGATGATGGCAAAGAGTGGTGGGCAAAAGGGCGATATGACGGGAAGGAGGTGGAGACCTGGGTTACTGGACAAGATGAGGATTAGGTGCCTGTGTATGTGCATATATGGTTCTGATGTCTCTTGGTAAACATTCAGATTGACTCTTTCTCAATGCATTTGCTGACAATGAGTAGCTTACTAGGGGGTGGGAGGGTCTTATAATATTAGGTGCCATATAGGGGGTATAACTCAGATAGACACTGATAGCATGCCCCCCATCCCCTGTTATAGACCCAGGGGTCTACAAGTAGAAAGGGGACTTATATCCGGGGGTTCACGGGTACTCCTTGTTGAAAACATGTAGTTTACACTTCTGATGTGTCGAAACACTGAACTATAAGCGAGGCAAACTACAGCGAAGCAACGGCGAGTCAACTGAGGAGGTTGGAAAAATGTAACAGCAAGAGGTTGAGCGAAGGTCAAACGTCAGCGACCTTTGACTCGTCGAAAAGCAGCGCGACAGCAAGGACACACAACTGACTTGCTATTGAGCAGTTGCCCGAGTCATCGCTGTATCGAACCGCAACAGAAACAGCAATAGCTAGTTGCATCCTTTCAGATTCCCTGTGATCTTATAAAAGCCTTATATTACCTTGCTATAATTAACACATCTTGTTCTCACACACTAGTATAAGATGGTTCAATCAAGTTCACTAAGAACGCTTTCGCATTACATCTCTACTCAAAGTCTTAGCCTTGCAACGATCCCAAGGGCCTTTCTCAGCCCAACATGGTATGAGAGCAAACAGTCAACAATAGAAGGCTTGGCAACGCAGGAGAGAAGCTCCTCTAATGGATCTCCCGGCACTACTTCTATTCCACCTCTAGCCTCTGGACTGCAGAGAGGGAGGAACGGCAACAAGGCCAGCTGCTGCATCTACTGAAACTCTTGTGAACCAGGCAACTGGCTTTGATCCAGACATGATGGGGAAATTTTTTTTCCTTCATGTCATTCTACGAACAGCACCAGCAAGCAGCACCTGCGCAATCAAACAATAGCGACAACAACAATAGCGTCACTCCCATCAGTCTTGCCGGCTCATCCTTTGCGCGCGGAAATCAGCAGCCTACCTTTGCCCCGTACGAGTCTCAACACGGCTCCATCAGCTTCATGCCAAACCGGCCGCCACCAGACAAGAAACAAAGACATTTTATGCGCTTTAGATGCAGTCGCAGTTCGCACGCGTTCTAAAACTGCAAACATCAACACCATTTGATGACAATGACTTCTATACCTGGTCGTTCAAGTTCGAACTGATGATGGAGGGCACTCAAATCCTTGGATTCTTTGATGGTTCCCTGCCATACCCAACGCACGGGACACAGTACGACAAGCAGCAGTACACGTATAAGTCAGTAATGGCGTACACAATACTCCCGCGAAACATAACGCCAAACGAGCAACAGAATATCCGGTCTTATTGTGGATACGGCAACTCTGCCGAGCTCGCGTGCAACCATCTGAATAACCTATATCAGGCAACGGACAGCGTTAATCAGAGTCATCTCATGGCACAACTGACAATTGTGGAAATGAAACCCGGCGAAAAAGGAATGGCGCGTCAGACTCCTTCGATGTGGTGGATCGATACCAGGATAAGCCTTCGTCTCAGTCGTCATCACTGGCCTCGGTCCGCAGTGGCGCTCCACTCGAGCTATTCTCCGAGCCCACGGAAAGACCTCTGAAGCAGCACTCTGCGCCGAAATTCACGCCGAGCAGCAAGATATGCACCTGCACGAAGAACATCACAAGAAAAATGTCAACACCGGAATTCGCCTTTCACACTCAGCGATGTCACAACAACAATAGCCGACAAAACGAGCATTACGAACGAAGACACATTCCACCATTTTGTTACCTTTGCCGGACGCCGGGTCACTCCCGCATTCACTGCCCAAATCAGCAGCAGTCAACACCACCGTGACGCCAACTTCGACCTTCAGCAGCAGTCAGGTGGCTTCTACACAGCCACATCTCTCCAACCAAGTGCAGTCTTCAATGGCAACGACGACACAACCTGCACAAGGAACAAGAAACATCGTGAGTTGCACGACAAGAATGAATTCCTACATCAACGAATCACCACCAACTTACTCACCAGAAGAATTACTTGACGAAAGTACTCCTCGCACTGCAGCCAAACCCGACGTACGCAGCCATCGCCCAAAGCGAGCCGTCCGGGAAAGACACCTGGTTCTTGGACAGCTGCTGCGGACAACACATGTGCTCTTCGGGTCGCTTCGTTCTACGGGAACAACAGCTTCACCGCGAAGTCATACTCACCGTCGCCAACAATCAGAACCTGCGCACACGATGACAATGAGTAGTTAAACTTCAATCCCGCGAAACAAACGTCATCTTGCAAATGTCAAAAGTTCTGATCACAGAAGGACTCGGCTACAACCTACTCAGCATCAGTCAACTCATGGCGAAAGGAATTCACCTTGAAGCAAACAGCACCACTTATGAGTTCAGGTTGTACAACAGGAAGGGTGGACTCTACATCGAAAAAGCAGTCCTGAAGAACAACATCTTCGTTCTCGACTTCGTTCAAGATCAAGGCACCGCCGACAGCGACGTGATAGTCAACTACAACACGTGGACACACCCGCCGGACCTCGAGCCCGACTTCAGCCCTGGAGGATTCTCGTACTCGCACACTATACCTGAAGAAGATTGGACGAGAGCGTTAGCAACAATTCGACAGACAACAACGGAAGAAGCAAAGACCACACTGGCAACAATAGAGACAACAACGGCAGAAGCAGAGACAACACCCTCAGCAGCAGAGACAACAACGGCAGAAGCAGAGATAACACCAACAACGTCACCAATCGCCAGTCCCTCAACAGCACCAATCTTGATCGACGACTCTCCACCAACTCCCGCACAACAGCTAACTCCCACTCCACGAGAAGTCCACAGAAGCGCCAACATCACCGCGAGTTTCTACTCCAATTCCGACCTGTACAGACGATCACCTGGACGTCGCGCCACCGAATTAATATGGCATTCAATGATGGGACACCCGAGCAACACAACACTGAACAATACGATAAGATCAGGAGTTCTCAACAAGGACTCACTTCTTCTACCCGATGGCAAAGAACTTCAACGAGTTTGTGGAACATGTTTTACCTGCCCTGAAGCTGACTTACTCTATCAGCCGTTCGTCTCTCACCACAACCCAAGCGCACCAGCATACGCACCACTGGAAAAGGTCTCCAGCGACGTACCGTACGCTCGTGAAAGCGAACAAGGAGCATACAACTACGTCATCACATTTATCGACGCCGCCACTCGATACGTCTGGCACCTCAACCTTCCAAGCCGCGACATGGTCTTCGAAGCCTTCGTCGCCTAGCTTGCAGGAAAGCTGAAAAGTTTCTAGTCAGGTGGGGGAGGGGAATATCAGTCACAGAGGTTCAAGCAGTACCTGGCAGAGAGAGGCATCAAGCGACTCATCTCTCTTCCCTGCGCCCATCAACAATAAGGTGTGGCAGAAAGGATGAACAGGACCCTCCAAAACATTATGTGCAAGCTGCTACGTGGCATGCGGCTACCCAAATACCAGTGGCCCGAAGCAATGGACCATGCTGTGATGCTGCACAACTTGCTCTCGTCATCATCGCTCCCGAACAACGCATCACCGCATCTGCTGTGGACAGGAAAATTGGGCAGCACAAAAATGTTACGGGTGTTCGACTGCATGGTACAGTATCGACACCCAACTGCACGAGCCAGCCGATTCTCTTAACGTGCACAGTGGGGACTACACCTGGGCATCGAAAAACACTACAACGCGTGGAAAATCTTCAATGTCCACACGAAGGAAACAATAGCAGCACGTGGTGTGATTTTCTACGAAGGACTCACCCTGTCAACGTACCTGGACAACCTGGAAGCAGATAGTAACCTCACGGACGAATTTCGTGGTGACCAAGCCTTCGCTTCGGTAGCAGATGAAGCTGACTGGGACGAGCAAAATGTGGACGGAGCATCGGAAGAAGCCGGACCTCTACTGTTCGGTCAACGTCCCAATGGACGACGACAACCCTCGCGAAAGCATCAACGCCGAAGTCTACTACCACTTCACCGACAATGGTTGCGTTACACCTCAACACCAACGTCTCCAAACGTATAGGCCACAATTTCTTACCTGATCCAGAAGTGGGAGACGAAGCAGTTTAACTCGAGGACTGAAATCTCCCCCGACTCTCACAGAGTGAACTGCAGATACTCGGCCTTGTCACCGCCGTCCACGGAGCATCGCCGCCGAAGGAGCCTACCACAATTCAGCATGCTCTGGGGGGGGGAGCACAGGGAAAAATGGCGCGAAGCCATGGACAGAGAGTTAAAAGCGCTAGAAGAACGCAACACCTGGAAGATAGTACCCATCGGAGTGGCACGCAACAAGACCATACTCACAGGAAAATGGGTTTTCCGTGTAAAGACGAAAGCAGATGGAATGATTGACAAGTTCAAAGCATGATGGGTCGTACGCGGCTTCGACCAAGAGCACGGACGAGACTTCACCGAAGCCTTCACACTGGTTAGCCGACACATCTCTCTGCGAATCCTTTTTGCAATAGCCGCCATGAAGCGGAAGAAGCTCCGTCAGATCGATGTAGCCAGTGCATTCCTCTACGCTCCCGTCGACGCCTAAATCTTCGTCGAGCAACCACACGGATCCGACACAGGTCCTAACCAAGTCTGTCAGCTGCTGAAGTCCCTGTATGGCATCAAGCAAGCTCCGAGGCTACGGCAGCAATACCTACACGCCCGACTACTCCGCATCGTCTTCCGTCGACTGCCATATGAGCAAGGAATGTATCGACTCACAAAAGCCGCCGACTAGATCCTACTTATCATCTACATGGATGGCTTACTCCACATAGGCTCTACCGACAACATCACCA